CACCCCAGTGGGGACCCCCACCCTGAAGGGGGTGTGACCAGCTGCAAACAGCCATCAGTCCCTCACCCAGGCTGGCCAGGCACCCCAGCGGGACCCCCACCCTGATCCGGGACACCCTTCAGGGCAAACCAGCCGGCTCCCACCTGTGCGCCAGGCCTCTATCCTATATAATAAAAGGGTAATATGCAAATTGACCCTAACAGCAGAACGACTGGGAATGGCTGGTCACTATGACACACACTGACCACCAGGGGACAGATGCTCAATGCAGGAGCTGTGCCCTGTTGGTCAGTGCGCTCCCACAGGGGGAGCTCTGCTCAGCCACAAGCCAGGCTGATGGCTGCCAGTACAGCAGTGGTGGCAGGAGCCTCTCCCGCCTCCTCAGTAGTGCTAAGAATGTCCAACTGCAGCTTAGGTCTGCTCCATGCTGGTAAGTGAACATCCCTCAAGGGCTGCCGGGCTGCCAGAGGGATGTCTGACTGCCAGCTTGGGCCCGATCCCCCAGGGAGCGGGCCTAAGCCAGCAGGTGGACATCCTCCAAGGGGTCCCAGACTGCAAGAGGGCATAGGCTGGGCTGAGGGACCCCCCCGAGTGCACAAATTTTTGTGCACCAGGCCTCTAGTTCTAAAATATAAAGAAAGGGGCTCTTTGGGAAATGATTGATTCTAGGACTAGGGCAGAAGATATTTAAGATGAACCTGGAGTATTTTTTAGTGTCAGGAAGTAAGGAAGTGTTGTGGGGAGGGGCAAATTTATGGGGTGTATCAAAGTGACATAGTGGCCAATTGAAAGAGCTCCCAATTACCAAAGCTGGAATAATTTGAACAATTTGAGCAGCAAAGTAAAGTAGTACTGATTATAACTCAAAATGTAAAATAAACATCCATTAGTACTTACTGATGCAATGCATAATGAATAAATTAATAAAAAGAGAAGAAAAGACAAACCTCCATGCTGAAGAATTCCAAATAATCTGTGTAGTTGCTCTGCCCTAAAGGAGAGGATGAATATAACTCGCTGCTCTTTAGATATGGGCTACACATAGCAATTTCCTTCCAAAGAATTCAGTGTGGAAAGGGGGAGAAAATAAAAGAATAACTTTACCATGGTGAAACCCAAGAAACAGTACCTCAGCCAGCTGATTAAGGCCAACATCAACAGTAATAGGTCATGTCATTAGTGTGTCCCTTTGATATAATATGATAAAAATGGGATATGCGATGAGAATGGCACTTTATCTCTGTGACCCTCCTTTGGTGCCCTGTGTGTGGTCAGCCTAATCGGGGGAGCTGCTCCCTTGCCATGCTCTTTCCGCTGTTTCTCAATCATGGTGTCTCCAGGGTCCTCTTCACACTCTTCTCACACATATTGTGGTGGGCTCTTAATTCTTCTGCCCTGCTGGACTGTGTGTCTTCAGAGGTAGGAAAGAAAGTCAGCCTAGTACTGTCTGGGAACCCCAGGCCCTACCATGGCCCGTGGTCAGAAGTCTTAAGAATCTCTTCCTTTTAGTCAATAAAACTCTGCCTCCTGCAACTTTAGCTCCTTGCCCCATCACCCCACCCCTCTACCTATCCCACAAAAACAAAACAGAAGAAATCAGCTCCTTTGCCATGTTATGGCCCCTAGGTATTTAAAGAATGCTGTTTTGTTTTACATTCAATATGTATGGAGCCAGGCACTGTGCCAAATGCCCTGTTACTTATTATCTTATTCAGGCAAAACACCCTCCATTCCTTCAGTTAGTCTCCATGTGTTGTTAGGTACAGAATAGAAAGCTGGGTTGGTGAGGAGGGACTTCTTAAATAGGGTGGTGGTCAAGGAAGGTTGCTCTGAGGAGGTGATATATTTTTTAAATATTTGTTATTGTTTTTTAGAGAGAGAAGAAGGGAGAGGGATAGAGAGATAGAAACAATGATGAGAGAGAAACACTGATCGGCTGCCTTCTACACACCTGCTACTGAGGATTGAATCTGCCCTAACTGGGAATCAAACTGGTGACCTCTTGGTGCATGGGACAATGCTCAACCACTGAACCACACCAGCCAGGGCTCAACATATAAATTTTGAGGGGACAAACATTCAGACCGTAGCATATGGGGGAAGAAGGGAATGGGGAGTTGTTTATGGGACCTGAGCCTGAAACCCAGGCATGTGCCCTGACCAGGAATCGGACTGGTGACCTCTTGGTTCATGGTTTGATGTTCAACCACTGAGCACACTGGCTGGGCTGAGGAGGTAATATTTAAGATGATACCTGAATGATGAAAAGAATAAGCTATGGATGACCTGAGGGAAGACTGTTCCAGATAAAGGAATACCATGTCCAAAGCCTGAGGTGGGGAAGAGCTTGGCATGTTGAGGGGATTGGAAGGGAGAGCAACATGGCTAGAACAGAGTAATCAAAGCAGGGGCAAGGTGAAGGTAGGCCAGAGAGCCCAGCAAGCCCAGGCCTTGATGGCCACACTGAATTTTATTCTATTTCGGGTGCCTTAGGGAAGCTATTTGAAGGTTCTAGGCAGAGAATGGACCTGAGCCACAGCGGGAGTGTTGGGGTGGATTGGAGGTGCATAGGAGTGCCAGAAGACAATGCTGCCCTTGGTGAGGCCCTGAACAGGTCATTGGGTTCAAATACTGGCTTCACCACTTTCGGTTCTTAGGCAGGTGACTTAACCCCCTTGTGGCTGTTTCTTCATAGCGTAGTGGTTAAAAGCATGGACTCTGAAGACAGACCACCTGGGTTCAAATCCTAGCTTTATTGCTTCTATACCATTTTGTTGGACAAGTTTCTGAACCTCAGCAGAATCCTCTACAAAAGGAGGATAACAATAGAACTCACCTCATGGGGCTGCTGTGAGAGCTCCATGAGTTAATATATATGAAAATTACAGGAGGCACTGGGATTTAGTGAATGCTTAATAAACTTAGCTGGTGGTGTCATCACCACCATCATCATTATTATTATAATTGTTAATTACATAACCTTTGGCAAGTAAGTTTCCTTTTCTGAGTCTCATTTTCCACATTTGAAGATGATAATCCCTATCTCCTAGGATGGAGATATATAATCTCCATACATATATATTTACCATATAGTAGGAGCTGGCTAAAGGACAGCCATTCTGGTTTCTGTGTAAGGCCACTATAGAAGGGCCTTCATGCCCACTGTACTGAGCATAATTAATATGGAGGTGCTTTGTGTCTCCCAGAATGTCCTTATACACACCTTCTTGTTTGGATCTTCAACAGTTTCATAAGAAAAATAACTTATCTCCATTCCAGTCTTACCAAGGAGAGACAAGGCCAGGGATTAGAGCACCAAAGAGTTTGTAGATGCTCCTATTTCAAGGTCTAGAACCCAAATGGTGATGGTGGTGGGGAGGGGCTGTTCCAAATCCCACTTCACACCTTTCAAATTCAGAATCCTTCGGAGACACTGGGCAGGTATTCTCACCTCTGCTTCACAGATGAGCAAACAATGGCTCAGGGAGGTGTAACTTGCCCAAAGTCACATAACAAGTAAACAACTGGATCTTCCTTCTGAAGCCAGGATTATTCCCAATCCCAGGTTGCCTTCTTAGAGCAGACTTCTTGGTTTATGGCCCTCTTTCTTCTTAAGTCCAAGAGAGCAGGACATTGTAGGATCTGGGGCCACTGACCTCCCTACCCTCCTTGCCTGAGTCTTTAAAACACAATTTAAAAAAAAATTTGATTTCAGAGAGGAAGGGAGAGGGAAAGAGAGATAGAAACATCAATGATGAGACTCATCGATCAGCTGGCTCCTGCATGCCCCCTACTGGGGATCGAGCTCACAACCCAGGAATGTACCCTGAAGGGGAATCGAACTGTGACCTCCTGGTTCATAGGTTGATACTCAAGCACTGAGCCACTTTGGCCAGGCTTGCTTGAGTCTTAATGGCTGAGAGGCTGAGGAGTGAGCACTGGATTGACAGCTCAGCAACAAGGGCGTTGCCCTGTCTCAGGGAATCTCCTTAAAAAGGGGGTTATACTCTCTGTAAAACAAGCAGGTATGCCTGTGGACCTCCATTTCCCTTCCAGATAGTATAACCAAATAGGAATCCATGCCAGGGAGCCAAAGGAGCATGATAAGCTGCAGAGAAGGAGGCCAGGGGCCTCCGCAGACTATGCGGGAGGGAGAAAGAACTGAGGCTCAGTGGGGACATGCATTTATGAGCAAAGACCTGCAGAAAAAGATGGGGAAGAGGCTTGTAGCTACAAAAGGGAAGATCTAGAAGAGGAGGACTAGCTGTTTGATATTTGTCATAGTCCTAAGCAGGGGAACTTGGGCTTACTTGGCACAAGGAAGAGTTGAGATTGGCTATTGGGGGAAACTTGTAAAATGCCATCCCCTGGAGAGTAATTGTGAGTACAATTCTGGGGGAGAGCCTGCTGCCTGCAGGCAGGATGTGGACAAAGTGCCTTAAGGGCTCTTGTCATTTGAAGAGTCGGAAGATCCGATGTCATGTAGCAAATGGAGCTCTGGACTTCTCCCCATCGTTTCCTGGACTTCTCCCCATCATTTGCCAAATGACCCCAGATGGAGTCACTTCCTATTTGAGCCTCATTTTTCTATTATATACTATAATATCTGCCAGCAGAAGTGGATGGTCCCTGAGGTCCAACTTTCTGGGACTTTTTCCCCTAGGGCCTTCACCAGATCCTCCTTCCAGACAACCAACAAGACCTGCGGCCCTTGATCCTCGTGAGCCTGGGAGTTGAGTTGATAACAGTGCAGAAAGAAAAATTTTGTGAACTGATTGACTGCAAGGTAACAGAAAAGTTGTCCAGGTTCAAGATCGGGTACCCCAGGTCAGTGCTGGCTATGTGTGTATATCCCACCAGATCAAATGAGCAAATTTTCACCTATTTTAGTAAAAGAAAGAAAAAAAAAGATAATACCTAATGCTGACAAGGGTGGGATGAAACTGGTAGTTGTTGCTACACTCTAAATTGTCTCAGTTCTTTGGATAATAATTTTAGCATTATGTTTTAAGTGCCATAAAACTGTTCCTACTTTTGGAAGCAATGGTCTACCTGTGAATTTATCTTTATATAACTAAGTTATGGGGAAAGCTACATGCATTAGGATGTTCATAGCAGTCATATTCATAATAGAAAAACCATCACCACCCACATGTGTTACTAAAGGGATAGTTTAGAAAATTGTGATCCATGCTCTAGCCGGTTTGGCTCAGTGGATAGAGCACCAGCATGCGGACTAAAGGGTCCTGGTTTCGATTCTGGTCAAGGGCACATGCCCGGGTTGTAGGCTGATCCCCACTAGGGGGCGTGCAGGAGGCAGCCCATCAATGATTTTTCTCTCATCATTGATGTTTCTATCTCTCTCTGTCCCTTCCTCTCTGAAATCAATAAACATATATTTGAAAAAAAACACACACACAAAACTTTGCAGGGTTATTTCACTGCCTATAGGATACAGTGTGACTTAATGCCACATAAATGGCTCTTCATGGTCTGACCCCTTAACTCCCTTGCAGTACCTCCTGCCACCTCCAACCTCTTCAACAACCCAGGCAGATGGCCTCCTGGACCCTCCATATAATCGCCTTTGCCACTGTAGGCCTTTCTACCTGAAATGCCACCGCCCCCCGCCCCCAATCCTATCTCTCTTTTTCTAGTAAATTCCTGCTCATTCTTTAAGATTCATCTTCTCAAGACAACCTTTCCTGACTGGCCCTCAGTTGGGGTCGTTCCCCATTCTGCACACTCATCATGCTCCCTTTGTGGCTCTATCACTTACCACACACATTGTATTATAGCTATTGACAGCCACGTAGTTTGTATATATCTTTCCTCCACCACTTGATTCATTGCTTCACGAAGGCAGGGATTGGACTTTATCTGTCGTTCATCTCTAGCACCTGTATAGTACCTGGTAGGTAAATGTTGACTGAATGGGGCATATTCATTGTAGAAAATGCTGAACATTTAAAAAGGTGAAAACCAAAATTATGTGCATTCCTCCACCAATCCCAATTAGTGTTTTGTGTATTTCTTTTTAGTATTTATTTACTGCATGGATATATGCCAAATGTGCATTTACTATTCATACACACAAAGTTTTATAATGGGAATCATGCTGATTATACAATTTTGCATCCTCCCCCCTTTTTTTCTTGTGGTGATACTGTGATCAGACTTGGTTTTTCTGGCATGTGTGGGAAGCAAGTGATTCCAATGGTAGAGAAAGAGGTGTGAAGGCAGGAGATCTGTAGCTATATCCCATAAACACATGAAAGGATTTTATATGGGATCTGTATGACCTTGGATAAGTCATTTCCCCTCCTCTAGGCTTCAGACTCCAATCTGCAAAACAAGAAAATTAGATTAGAACAGTGTTTCCTCAAGTATGGAACACATTCACAGAAGGTTTACGGGATGATTTTAGGCAGCACGTGGATTGACATTGTTAGTTTTAACAGCTATGTATTTATTCTAGTGTGAACTGGAGAAAAAGCATGATTCATGCACCACGCCCATGACCTGACAGATTTTGTTGCTTAGAACAAAGCCAAAGTAAATATTTAAGTGAAAGAAACTAAGTAGATTTAAGGAAAAATCACTAGTAAATTAAAGAACAGATAACATGCAGATATGGCCCAAATTGGGGCAGTTCTGTGAGAAAAACAAGTTGGAGAACAGTGGTGATTCCTTGCAGTTCAAAGATGCCACAGTTCTCTGGTTCGCGTGCACTACCAATATAGAAAATGGCTAGTTAGAGGTAACTACCTAAGAAACAATTTAAGGAGCTTTAGCTCCTGCATAATGCCTGGCACATGATGAATATCAGTTAATGCCTGTTGAATTGAAATTCAGAAAGGCTTACATAAACTCAAGGGTGGCAGATGTTTGGGCTGCCCAGTCAGCATTTTGTTGCAATCAGCTATAATGCTGACAGATTGAATTCTGGCTTATTCATTAATTGTTGAACTCATGGTTTTGCTAAAGCAGGCAAAAATCATAGCCTGTATCTAGCTCAAATCCTCCATGTTTTAACTGAGGACCGTGAGGCCCAGGAAAGGGCCTGTGACATCTTATAAGTCACATAGTCACTGACTGAGACACCTGTCCTGTGAATGCTACAGGCTAGGTATCCTGAAACCTCTCCCTACAAAACACAGTGAGTGCCATGTAGAATATAATCATAGGAAAGGAGGGAAATTTCCAAGGGCAAAATGAAGAGGAGCCTAAACGCCAAAGCACAGGGGGATCCAGTGTTGGGATTACCCAACAAGGATGGGGTTTAAGGGAATCATGGGTTGAAGTTGTACAGCCTGCAAGGACAGATGAAACTTTCAGTTCAAGTGAGGCAGGAAATGGAACTAAAGTGCCTGCATGAAGCTGAGGTCTCTAGAAGAGCTACCCTGTTTAGTGAAAAACCGATTAAAAATCAGTATGACCATCAGCATCAGGAGGTAACATGGACTCGGGTCTGTCTTAACTTGGACCTACCCTGTTTAGTGAAAAACCGATTAAAAATCAGTATCAAGAGGTAACATGGAATCGGGTCTGTCTTAACTTGGAAAAAGAAGATCCCCTAAGAATTTGTAATTGCCTGCTTGCCCCCTCAGGGTTTGGTGAGTTCCTTAGCCTCTTTGGCCCCAGTTTCCATGTTTATGAATTGGGATGGTTATGAGGATCAAATTCATTAACAAATGTAAAGTGCTTGGCACATGGTAAGCGCTAAGTCAGAGTTAAATAGTGTTGTCGTTGTCTATTATGTAAAAAATTGGAAGTTAATGGAAATTAAGTGAAGACTTTCTAGTGGTGTGCTTGTGAAGGTTTAACAGCAAACTCTCTGGGAGGTGGGAGGTAACCCTGATTTGAAGTATTTGCCCATTCCTCTGGTGGACACACTCCCACCGTGCCCAATTTCAAGCTACCAACCTGATGGAGTTGAGAAGAGATGCACACAATCATCTCCCGTGAGCTGGTGGGAGCTGACTTTGATACACCACTGAGACCGATAGGACTAGCTTGTAGCCCCACTCCAACCACTGGATTTTTATTAAGTTGCTCTCTATGGATCATAGTGGAATCTGTTCTGGTGAAATAATGAAGCCAGAAGAATATTCTAATCTGTTCGTGATTTATTAGGTTTGCCTCCTTAGGTGAGAGTACAGGCGAGTCAATGGAAATTGAACTTACCCTTCAGTTGCTGTGGTCTCAGAAGGAAATTAGTCAATGAGTGCTGAGCCCATGCCAGCCTCCCCCACTTTCCCCACCCTCACATGCTATGAGGGCAGAGGGCGAAATAGAGCCAGGACACCAAGGCCAGTCCAAGGTAGCTTCAATCTGCTTTCCATCTTTTCTTTATATTTGTATTGATTTCAGAGAGGAAGGGAGAGGGAGAGATAGAAACATCGATGAGAGAGAATCTTTAATCGGCTACTTTATGCATGCCCCCTACTGGGGATCGAGCCCACAATCCTGGTATGTGCCCTTGACCAGAATAGAAACTGGGACCCTTCAGTCCACAGGCCGATGCTCTATCCACTGGGCCAAACCGGCTGGTGCTGCTTTCCATCTTTATAGATATGCCTGCTCTGGATATTTCATACAAGTGGCATTCTACAATATGTGCTCTTTTGTGACTTACTTTTTAGCATAATATTTTCAAGTTTCATCCATGTAGCAGTAGTATCAATACTTCATTCCTTGTTATTGTCAAATAATATTCCATTGCATGTGTATACCATACTTTATGTATTCATCAGATAATGGACATTTGAGTTGTTTCTACGTTTTGGCTTTTATGAATAATGCTGCTATGAACATTCTTTTTTTTTTTTCTGTTTAGCCATTTCATACAGAAGGAGGACACAAATCCTCCCCCTTCAGACCATGGCGATGTTACTCTATCCCATAAGCATAGCCACTAAAATCTATTGGGAGAAAATGTGGCAGTCAAAAGGGGAAGTGCTATGAACATTCTTGTTCAAGTTTTTATGTTGGCATATGTTTCCATTTCTCTTGGGTATATACCTAGGAGTAGACTTGCTGGGTCATAAATAATTATGTTTAACCTTTGAGGAGCTGCCAGACTGTTTTCCAAAGTGGCTGTACCAATTTACATTCCCATCAGTAATATATTGGAAACCTTGTTCCAATATTTTCATATCCTCATCAACATTTATGATCTATATTTTGAATTGTAGCCCTTTTAGTAGACATAATTGGTATCTCATTGTGGCCTTGATTTACATTTCCCTGGTGGCTAATGGTCGCATACGTAATTCAGTGGCCACATTAAAGAACTAAAAAGAAATGGGTGCAATTAACTTTAATAATATATTTTATTGAATTCAGTATATCTAAAATATCATTTCAACATATAACCAATATAAAAATTATTAATTGGATACTCTACATTCTTTTTTTGTTGTAAGTCTCTGAAAGTGGGTGTATGTTTTAGACTCACGGTATAGCTCTAATTCATATTGGCCACACTTCAGGTACTCAGCAACCACATGCAGCTCTTGGGCATTGTGTGGAACAGCACAGGTCTAGGGGAAGAAAGTCTGGAAAGGTAAAGGAGGCAGAGAGAAGAGTCTGGGAAAAGGCACAGAGGTGGGAAGGAGCACACTGTGTTTAGGGATTGAAAAGAGTGATGGGAGGCAAGGTTGGAGGGCAGGGCACAGGGAGGAGCTGGCGTGGGAACCTCAGCATCTATGCCTTACCTTCAGCGATGACGATATGTGCCAGAAGTTCCTCATGGAGAACAGCTGGAATATCTTCCGGAAGGATCTGATACATCTGCTGGAGGAGCCTCGCCGATGTCCACCACTCCCCCCAATTCAGTACAAGAAGAAAGAGATCTACAACCCCAAGTCTCTGACGCTGGATTTGTGTAACTTCAACAAGAAGACTAAACCTAATTATCCCATTTTTATGGCACCCCGGAAAAACCTCCCCCCACTGAGGATTGTCCAGGCCATCAAGGCACCCCGGTACAAAATCCAAGAACTTCTGCCTCGGTACAAGAATGCAGGGGTCCTTGTTTAGACCAAATAAAGGATGGAGGCTTGGCCACTGTGTTTCTTGAATGGACATCATGGGAGTTGGGGAGCTTGGAGTGGGGGCTACCAGGGGCTGAGCTGTGGGTCTGGACAGATGTTTAGGGGCAGCAACTGGGGCACTGTTTCCCTTGACACTTGTGGGGCTGGGTGAGTGGATGGTCAGGAGGCAGGAGGCTGGGCATGGATGGGTTAATCAATGAAGATGCTCTCAGGGTGGGAGGGTTGTATCTGAAAAGATGGATAGGTGGCACAGAGGGGTTCAGACCAAAGTGAGCAAGACTGGGGTTGCGAACTCAAATGCCTTCCAAGGCCAGACAAGTCATCTAAAGGAGAGCAGCAAGAAGGACTGGGGAAACAACAGTGGATGGTGGGGACTGGTGCACACGTTCCCATCTCGATGGAGCAGCTGCTCCTTAGACCCAGCCATTGATGCCAGGAAATAAGTGTAGGCCTGGTACTACTGGTCTATTTTTCAAGAGAACCAAGAAACCAAATATTTAAGAAGATTTTTACTGGTTTTTAAATGTGAACAACTAATTCAAATTGTTTTTGAAATACTGTGTTAGGCAAACAAAACACATACGTGGGCTGTGTTGGGCCTACAAACTGCTATTTTGCCAATGCTCTTCAAGCACCTCTGTCAGACTGACAGGGTGTTGCCAGAGACTGGAGTGAGCATGACTGTGGAGGGAGGGAGGAATAAAAAGCCAGAGGTGGGCATCATGACAGGAGCGGCATCCTGGGTCAAGGATGAGGATCAAGCAGCCTGAGAGATAGGAGGCAGGCCAGAGACAAGGAGGTGGTTGATTGGACTTACAGATGGATCCTGAATCTGTAGCCACCTGTCACTGACCTAGGTTGGCACTACAGACTCAGTGCCCACTTACCTCTTTCCCTTGGGAAATCCCATAGTTTAGCTGTGACAGTGCCAGGGGGCCTGGTGGAGGCCATGACAGCACAAGGGCCTGGCCTGGGGCCATCAGGAGAGATATGAGCCCTCCCGCATACTACACACTTGAACACTCACCTAGCCCACCCTGGCAAGGAGTGGAGTCTGAGAGACAGCTGAGTGCTGAACTGGACATCGGAAGCTCTGGAGAACCTGGTTCTGTTTCCGTCTCACTCACCCCCCTTGAGCACCTTGAGTTCTTTACCTTCACCCCAGTTTCTCCAGTGGCAAAATGAGCAAGTTGGACAAGATCAATGGTTTTTATGAGTGAGGGGGGGTGAGTACAGTTTGAAAAACATATTCAACATTATACTTTTATATGCTGAATTTAAAAGAAAATTTTTTATGTTGCACAGCAAAGGAGAAGGAATATGGAATTTTTCTATCAGAAGGGAGTATGGATGGGAAAGGGTAGAGAAGCAGTGAATTTAATCATCTCAACTTCCCTAATAGATCCAGAAGTTCAAGGAGTCTGAGACATCTGTGGTAGTCCTGGAAGGGCTGTCTGTGACCTACAGGATGGGGTGGCACTGTTTTGGACCTAGGTAAGTGGGAATGTCTGACTTTATGTGGGATCTTTTTGCATGTAGGGCTGTGGCTCAAAGATAATGGTGTGGACATCTTGTTCATTCAGTTAAAATTTATTTATTAAGTACTTGCTCCATAGCAGATTCAAAGGAGGATAAGAGACAGTCTCTGTTCCCTCTTATTCTCTAGGCCTGGGGTCAGCAAACCCTTTCTGTAAAGAGCCAAATAATAAATATTTTGGGTTTCGCCAGCCATGCAGTCTCTATGGTAACTACTCAGCTTTGTATGGTGAAATCAACTTTAGTGTTCCAATACCAAATAAAGGATGGAGGCTTGGCCACTGTGTTTCTTGAATGGACATCATGGGAGTTGGGGAGCTTGGAGTGGGGGCTACCAGGGGCTGAGCTGTGGGTCTGGACAGATGTTTAGGGGCAGCAACTGGGGCACTGTTTCCCTTGACACTTGTGGGGCTGGGTGAGTGGATGGTCAGGAGGCAGGAGGCTGGGCATGGATGGGTTAATCAATGAAGATGCTCTCAGGGTGGGAGGGTTGTATCTGAAAAGATGGATAGGTGGCACAGAGGGGTTCAGACCAAAGTGAGCAAGACTGGGGTTGCGAACTCAAATGCCTTCCAAGGCCAGACAAGTCATCTAAAGGAGAGCAGCAAGAAGGACTGGGGAAACAACAGTGGATGGTGGGGACTGGTGCACACGTTCCCATCTCGATGGAGCAGCTGCTCCTTAGACCCAGCCAATTGATGCCAGGAAATAAGTGTAGGCCTGGTACTACTGGTCTATTTTTCAAGAGAACCAAGAAACCAAATATTTAAGAAGATTCCTACTGGTTTTTAAATGTGAACAACTAATTCAAATTGTTTTTGAAATACTGTGTTAGGCAAACAAAACACATACGTGGGCTGTGTTGGGCCTACAAACTGCTATTTTGCCAATGCTCTTCAAGCACCTCTGTCAGACTGACAGGGTGTTGCCAGAGACTGGAGTGAGCATGACTGTGGAGGGAGGGAGGAATAAAAAGCCAGAGGTGGGCAGCATGACAGGAGCGGCATCCTGGGTCAAGGATGAGGATCAAGCAGCCTGAGAGATAGGAGGCAGGCCAGAGACAAGGAGGTGGTTGATTGGACTTACAGATGGATCCTGAATCTGTAGCCACCTGTCACTGACCTAGGTTGGCACTACAGACTCAGTGCCCACTTACCTCTTTCCCTTGGGAAATCCCATAGTTTAGCTGTGACAGTGCCAGGGGGCCTGGTGGAGGCCATGACAGCACAAGGGCCTGGCCTGGGGCCATCAGGAGAGATATGAGCCCTCCCGCATACTACACACTTGAACACTCACCTAGCCCACCCTGGCAAGGAGTGGAGTCTGAGGGACAGCTGAGTGCTGAACTGGACATCGGAAGCTCGGGAGAACCTGGCTCTGTTTCCGTCTCACTCACCCCCCTTGAGCACCTTGAGTTCTTTACCTTCACCCCAGTTTCTCCAGTGGCAAAATGAGCAAGTTGGACAAGATCAATGGTTTTTATGAGTGAGGGGGGGTGAGTACAGTTTGAAAAACATATTCAACATTATACTTTTATATGCTGAATTTAAAAGAAAATTTTTTATGTTGCACAGCAAAGGAGAAGGAATATGGAATTTTTCTATCAGAAGGGAGTATGGATGGGGGGTGGTAGAGAAGCAGTGAATTTAATCATCTCAACTTCCCTAATAGATCCAGAAGTTCAAGGAGTCTGAGACATCTGTGGTAGTGGAAGGGCTGCTGTCTGTGACCTACAGGATGGGGTGGCACTGTTTTGGACCTAGGTAAGTGGGAATGTCTGACTTTATGTGGGATCTTTTTGCATGTAGGGCTGTGGCTCAAAGATAATGGTGTGGACATCTTGTTCATTCAGTTAAAATTTATTTATTAAGTACTTGCTCCATAGCAGATTCAAAGGAGGATAAGAGACAGTCTCTGTTTCCTCTTATTCTCTAGGCCTGGGGTCAGCAAACCCTTTCTGTAAAGAGCCAAATAATAAATATTTTGGGTTTCGCCAGCCATGCAGTCTCTATGGTAACTACTCAGCTTTGTATGGTGAAATCAACTTTAGTGTTCCAATAAAGCTTTATTTACAAAAACAAGTAGCAGGTCAGATTTGGCCCGTGAGCCATAATATGCTTACTCCTGCTCCAGGCAATAGGGAGGGAGCCCTTGAAGGTTCTTGAACAGATAGGATATGGGGACAGAAACTTATTACTGAGCACTTATTCCATGACAGCCATCTTGCTAAGCATCTGACTGAAATCTGATAACCTTTGGGCTAAGATCCCAGCTCTGCCACTTAATGGCTGTTGAGGACTAAACGAGTTGGTACATGTACAGCACGGTGGAATGTTGTATTCACCAAGATTCCTGGATCCTCCTTCCTGGAAAGTGAGAGAAAAAACTTGCAGAACAGGAGGCAGATCATGTTTCCCAGGAGAGTAGTGGGTGACAGAACAGACTAGAAGGGCAACCTGGGAGTAAAGA